TACATATACATATACGAATACATATACATGTAAAATATATATATATATATATATATATATATCCTTAAGAACTGCGCTCCTAAATACACTTGTACGAACACCCCCTTGTATGCTTACACCAACAACCCCTCATAGATATATTGATGTTCGTAGTGCGCGTAAAGGGCACTCAGCACAGAACCATCCACGCTTCCAACAAACGATTCACTACACTAAACACACACACGCATATATACATATATATATATATATATGCATATATATACATACATACATACATACATACATACATATATATATATATATATCTTGCCGTTAGAATCAACTCGAATCGAACGTTAAGACCCATACGATTTTTTTACTTCGTAGTATCTGCAGGCACAGCATCTAGTTTGCTCTCTGTTACGCTTTCTGAAGGTACCGTTTCATTTCCGGTCGCAATTTCAGCAGTCTGTGTATCTGCACTTTTTGCCTCGCTAACACTTTCGGTCTCACTCGATAGTTTCAGTTTCTTGCGTTGACTCTCCTCGTGGAAGTCCGCCATGTGTTGATGGTGCACTCCTCTGAACTCACCCTTGTCTCCTATTAGATTACCCTGTCTCAAAGCCCCGTTCAGCAGTGTATCAAAACCATCGCCTATGGCGGTCAGTATAGACTGCAAATACGAGAAAACAGAGTATGTTAGAATAGACAGTAATGTGAGGACAATGTGAATTTTTTGAGGAGATTGTACATGTGACTTGACGTTAATACAGCGGGGATTCATTAGTGGAACGTGGTTTTTTGTAGCTTCCTAGTGAACCTGATGATATCCCGGACAGAACGGCAAGTTCGGCTTGTTGTGATTTCACAGTACACAATATACGATACGACCACACAATCGCATCACAGAGACAGCAGTAGGGTGTGGTGTCCCAGACTGCCCGGTAAATATGAAGTCATTTAAGTATATACATTGGATTGTAGTCATATGAGACGTATGAGCGGTTCTTGGAGTGTTCCGTGAGCAAGTACCCACACATACATCCGCACATGATCGATATGAATATTCCGAGCAACTATCGCATAACCTCGACGTAAATAGCAACGATTGTACAGGCCATGAGTCGATCGTATATCTCATACAGTGTGGAGGCTATATCGTATATCCATCAATAAGGAAACAGCGTGCCAATTGCAGGCTATCCGTAGTTGGGTCTATGGTTATGTGAAAGTGACAGCCAATCACAGTAGACGGGAATGGGACTCAGCTACGCCTACAACACACTCAACAGCTTACGACTTCCTGGGCCCTGTTAGAGTTTTAGCTTCTACTCAAGAAAGACTGTATATACATATTCAAACGTACAATTTAGTACGGCCACTACTCAAGGTATTCCTGAATAAGTTTTTGTGTATCACGCGCGCAACTACGGTTAACACTATCCCCTTGAAACTTAAAAATATCTGATATAGTCGAGCGTGTCATCTATAGTGGGTGACACTCTCGTTAATACGAGAAGCATGGTCACATCCCTCTGCGTATTTACACATACATACTTGATCAGCACGTGTCACACCTATCACTACATACACATACATCAACAACAGCTAAGCTACACACCTGGGGTTCTTCCAGTTGCCTGAGGCCTGCCAGGATGGCCTCTAGCGTAGCACAGCCACCACTACGGGACTCTCTGCGGACACTGCGCTTGTCGTTGATGGCGTCGGGTGCGAGGATTACGCGTGGTACTTCTTTCGGAATGAATCGTTGCATGGGCTTCACCTGGAGCATAGGCAATAAGTGTGGATACGACCACATATTTATATATTTATAAGAGATATGAGATAATGGAAAACATGTGTATATGAGATACTCATATATGAGAAAAAAAATTATACGACGACATGTGTATAGGAAGACATGTGTATATGTCTTTACACCGATATATATTGGTCTGGCTCAGATGCGAGAATCACGCGTGGTACTACATTGAGAACGAATCGTTGCATGGGCTTCAGCTGCAGCGTATGAGATGACGTATATATGAGATATGCATATGAAGACATGTGCATGTAAGAACATGCGTGTATGTGGGAACATGTGTATATTTTCATAGCTATGCATATTGGCTTCGGTGTGTTGCGAAGCTGAAGCTGCAAAGTTTGGGCACGTGACTGTGTGCCTGCGTTGCACATTTCGTTACACTGTCCTCGAGATTCAATCCCATCTTCAGGGATATATCCGTTGCACAAGCTTCATTTGTATACAAGAACGTGCATGTCTGAAGATGCTTGCTTGTCGCCAATTGAACATGGCTGAAGTTATAGTTTAAAGAATCTGATACGGCGATACCGGTGACAAACGAAAATATCTCTACTATCGGAGTGTACATTTGATATATAGAATTGAATCATGTACAGCTCCCAATGTGCTGACACTATGCAGATGCACATAGGCCAATTGCTACACCACCCGTCAAACAGATTGACCACAACACAACGCTTGCTTATATAACTCTTTCGCACACACATGGCTTCCTTGTTCTCATGACAAGGCAGAAAAACCCAACCCTCAGCCTCATAGCTATGAATACCTTGCTCCATGTGCCCTCCAGTACAATCATGGTAACCTTAGGTCGTTTCCTGGCGGATGTGTTCTCTGATTGCTCTACACCCGCCTTGGCCGCGGCCTCACTCTGTTGCTTCGCAACGTACTCTGCAACTGGCATGGCATTCTCGCTCGGATAAAGCACCACCGGATTTTCGGCGGCTTTTATGTGATCTAGAAGTGCCTTCTCATGCGCCTAATATATTGTTGATTATCGAAATAATACTTAAACAGAATTGCAGCATGTTCGGGCGGATTTGTGTCTATAGTACCTTATGTAGAAATCCTACAACACATCATGGACATATATATATATGTATATACATATATATATATATATATATATGTGTGTGTGTGTGTGTGTGTGTGTGTGTGTGTGTGTGGCTCTGAGTACAGAACGTAGAGCAACCAGTCTGTGATGCATCTATGAAAAGTGTACGCAATTCAAAACTCATATTTGCATCACACAAATGAATTATCAAACTTGTGTTCATATACATGATAGGCTCATCCATGCCGCACTATGCACTCACATACCTTGATACCAAAGATAAAGAGTTTGGTATGCTTTGGCAAGATCATCGGTAGAAGCCTGCCTGTGTTACTGGTACTACCAAACTCGTCGACGCGCATGAATATCCACACCTCGGTGTTGTAATTATCCAAATCTGGTTGGCTGATGTTTTTAGAAATCGCCGCGATGCGCTCGCAGATACAGAGTTTCCGCACAAAGAGGCACTCTGTGTTCCACAAGTCCACAAGTAAGTTATGGGTTAGCCATTAATAGCAATGACTGTAATTAATGACTCAATTGCAGTACGGATACGCATTGCCTGCCCATCGTACATGTAATGCATTGATGGAATGCGAAAGTAATCAGTATACCAAACCCGCCACGGGTCGTGCGTTGTACAGCTATATACCTATCGAATGATTAAAAAATTAGAAGATTACCATGTACTCTCTTCAATTTAAAAATTACTTGACTAACAGACTGAGCGATGCACATACCTACGCACCGACGTTTCTCGACCATCTCTTTCCGGTTGAAACTCATTGAGCGCTTTGTAAATAGATCGCTGACTTCATCGTTATTTGTGGCTAATGCTCTAAGGTAAATAAGGGAGGAAAGGACATGTATTAACTTTTTGTCAGCATAAGCAAGTTCATAAATAATTTCGTAAACCTCAACCCATACAAACACACGCACACACACATATATATATATCTATATATATATGTGTGTGTGTGTGTCCGTGTGTGTGTGTGTGTGTG